GCAATGAGGCAAACGCGATTTTAAAGAAGACGGTTAATTCTTTGAGAAAATCTAGGAGCAGATCGCTGGTTATTAAAAAAACTATATTTTTTACAAAAGGAAAATAGGTCTGTTCGAACAAGATATGGATGGGACTTTTTATGGGTTTATTTACTTAATAACTCTATTTTCCCTTTCAAAATTATTTTATTATAAGAATATGTATTATTATGTATTATTTGTTATTTATAAATAATTTCACTTCTATTGCGTAATATATGTTATATATAATAAATATACTTATTTGATACAATTATAACCTCTAAAGCACATTTATCATACATCAGCAACCAAATTTTCAATAAAAACTAGAAAGAAAGATAAATCTTATTACAAACAAGAAAAAAATAAAAATGAATTTTCCAACGTAAACCCTACACATGGGTAAAATTTACCCGAACGAAATTTTGCTGTCTTCCCTGTCGAAAACGGTCAGGTGAGAAAACAGCTGAGTTATGCCTTCCAACAAAGGAATTAGTTAACTAATTTTGGCTCTAGTATAGTACTGCCAACTCCTCATATTTTCAGAGCGGTAACGTTCGAAAAGTTGGTCTGGGTAAATTTTACCCATGTGTCGGGTTCTAAGGTTAAAAATATTAGCCTGCAGTTAAATATGCATTATCTGGTTTAAAAGTTTCACTGAGTTTGTATGTTATACATCTCTATTAAAGTATTAATCTCTTTGCTAAATTGTTCGTCAACCTCCACCAGGCGATGATTGAAATTCTCCATATTAATCACGTTTCGAGTACCCTGAATTTATATATTTGATCAATTGCTTGATAAATTACATTTAATTATAGACTAGTTGCGAGGAAGATATTATTTATGGAGCTGCAATGTTCATTTACAGTTCAAATAGCACTAACAATGTACTGACAAACGTAATTCAACAATTTAGACAAAAGAATGAAGAGAATATTTTGTGCCTTCTTCCGTGATTAACTAACCTTTCTAAGGTTAAAAAGAAAAAAGGGACGCGCTGTTCTATGTCTCGGAACCGTGACTTTGATAAGCACTCCTTACTCAACAAACTGCTAGAGAGATTTGATACGAATATCCGATTTCAATATTACTTCCGTTGCACATTATTTCTTTGTATTTTGTCTACATGATAAAGAATCAAATAAATCTTTAGAAATACCGTGATATGAAGAAATTGTGCCAGGCTTATCAAAATTTTAAGTAACTTTTTCCATTCTATTTTTAATACGTTACTATGGAAACGTATCGGATGATTAATATTTTTAACAAGTTATACAGTCATCCCTCGATTTACGCACTTTTTATATGCCAGATTTCTTTTTACGCTATAAAAATACTTCCGTTTACGCAGAAAGCGAAACAAAAATCAAATAGGATAAGCAGAAGAGAGTGTTACCTTGATAGCACGTACATTACAGTACGAGATTTTCTCTTTCGTACTTTTTTTTTCTGGCAGACTCCACTTACGTGATTCTCAATTGCATAAAAAAACCCACGTGAACGATTGCTTCGTGTAAATCGAGGGACGAGTGTATAATAAACAAGTGGATCTATATTTATCTTCTTTTATACAATGCTATTAAATGATGATAAAGACGATATATTAACCAAGACGTGTATTAAAACACAAAGCGCACTATTATTTCTGTCGCTACCCCCACGGAAAAATATATATTTTATTATATATAAAGAAAAGTAGAAAGGATACATTCGTTTTATATTACTCGTTTATGCGTTATAAGAAATATATATACTACTACTATAAATGTAATACCAATAAATTGGAATTTTTCATATATCATTCATATGTATTAAAAATATATAATAAAATGTATGATATATATACATTATAATACATAGCTGTGAATATAATTATATACGTGTAATGTATGCATTGTATCTTTTTTATATTTTATAATATATTTTATATAAAAATATTAAAAGGAATATTACATTAGGTGTTCTAAGTATCTTAGAATTTAGGTTCTCAACGTTTTACCAGCGGAGATCAAATTGATTTCATTCGCCACAACTGTTAGATGCCACAACTGTCAAGTCATTTCTCACTGGGCGATCGCTCTTGTTAGTAGTTTCTAAGTCCCTCATTTAGATAACTTAATCAAACAAAAGAAAAATTTAAGTAGATTGACTTTATCTACGTAAGTGATGACATTCCTAATTGCTATTTGAACATATTGACCTCAGCGCACATAAAATACGGAGTACAAATCGAAGCAAGTAGTTTCATCTGGTAAATTAAATTCCGAATAGGAATAAGTGAATGTTTCTAGTAGACAAATTGCAAGTCGGATTTATTACAGATCGAATGTTGTTTTATGTTGAATAAAATTCCAAATTGTAATATGTCTAAGTTTCCATGGATTGCAGATAAGTAATGCTAATTTTACGCAAGTAAATATAAAGATGCAAACGTAGCGCGTTACGGTTTACGTAATTACGAGTGATAATTGTCACGCTCATATACGTGACGTTATCTGTGTTGCGCTAGATTAGCATTGACTGCATCCGCGATACGTGGTCTCAAAAAGGATGCGTGTGTGAATACGGGGATAACATCAGCCGTTCAGCACGTGTTACTCACTGAGAATCATTTGGCAATTGTTTCATGCATGCCCACGAACGAGCTGTTCCTATGCAGAAAAGTACGTCGAGAGCAGAGGAAAACAGAAAACAGTGACTCTGTCGCGAACGAATTCCTTCTGTTGTGGAGAATAGTAAATTGCCGCTACCGTATAATCTCGTTGCGTAAATTTTGTCGCGCTCGTTATTACATAAAAA